GGGGGAACCCCTTGCCCCCCCCCCCCCTGCAGCTCCTTCCCTGTCTCCCTCTGCAGTTTGTCAGCTGTCAGCTAATTGCCCCTCCCCCACTGAGCTCAGTGCCATCTGCTCAGCCCCACCTAACGTGACTCAGCACTGCTGGGCCAGACCCTGAGCTGGGGGCGATGGGCCCTGGGCCCTGGCAGCGCATGCCAGGCTGGGGCCTGGTCCGGGGTTGCATGGGGCAGAGGGCGGGTACCAGCCAGGATGGGGCCAGCAGGGGTCTGGCAATCTCCCCAGTCTGGGAAGGGGTTTGACGGGTGCATCCCCTGGCCCCTTGTGCTGTCTCCGTTGTGCCCATCCCCAGCTCCTCTGGGCTCAGAGCAGCAGGGAGTCGCCTAACCTAGATCTTCAGGGTCCTGCTCTCTCAGTGCCTGACCTGCACTGGGACTTGGGGATGGGAGAGTGTGCAGCAGGCTGGGCCAGCTGAGCCTGCCATAGACACCCCCCCCCAGCAGGTACAAAAGCGCCACTAGACAAAGAAGGCCAGATCCAGCCCCTAGAGCCAGGCACCTGCTGTCACAAAGCAAGTGAAGTTTGCACCTCCACTCCCATCCAGGGGGGACGGGCAGGATTTGCACCTTCCTTTGCCTAGATGTGACTTGCACCTCTGCAGGCTGGCACTTCCTGACAGAGCGGGGTTAGAATCATTGAACCCTAAACCCACAGGACTCCCTGCCACTGGGTGTGAGTGGGGTTAACCTGTGGAACTCCCTGCCACTGGGAATGAGTGGGGTTCGCCCAGCCATGGGCAGGGGCATGGAAGGAGGGAAGTCTGGGTGATGAACCCATTGGATTGCTGGCCAGGAGCCTCCCAAGTAAGTGACTTCTGGCCAGAGCCTGCCTCTGGCACCCCAGCCCCACCCTATCCCCAAACCTCTGCACCCTTCTTGTACCCATACTCCCTCCCAGACCCTGCACCCCAATCCCTTACACCCCTCCTGCACTCCTGCCCCAGGTCAAGCCCCCTCCCGAACCGTGTGTAGCCAACATGCAGCAGTCCCATCGTGGCACTAGACAGTAATAAGCCCTCTGTGGTGATTGGCTGATCCGTTCTGTGGGTTGCACTTGACCCCGCCAGGCCCCTGCCATGGCTCGGCAATATTGGAAGAAGGGCTGGCTTCTTGTTAGCGCTGCAGGCTTGTGCCTCTTGTCTGCACCGCCAACCGCCCTGCCCTTAGTAACCGTGTCTCCCTTCCATAGAATCATAGAATCATAGAGCTGGAAGAGACCTCAGAAAGTCATCAAGTCCAGCCCCCTGCCCTAGGCAGGACCAATCCCAACTAAATCAACCCAGCCAGGGCTTTGTCAAGCC